GGGCAGGGGCGCGGGTGCCCCGGCGAGTCAGCCATCTTCTGCCTCGCCGCCGGCCCGCATGGGAGCGGCGGGGCGGGCGGGCGGGAGGCAGCGCGGAGCGAGCCGGCCCCGCGCCTGCTGTGGCGCTGCTGGCGGGCTGCCGCGGAGGGGGCGGCGGAGGGAAGGGGGAGGCCGGCCCCGGACCGCCGGCGGGCGGGGCTTGCCGGCACCGAATCGGCCGCCGCTGCCCGCCATGGGAGCCGGGGAGGGGGGAGGCGCCGAGCACCGGGCGGAGCGGAGCGCGGCGGAGAGGAGGGGGCGGTGCGCACACGCCCCCGCCCCCAGCCCGGGATGGGGATGGGGATGGGGATGGAGAGGGGGCCCGGTGCTCCCCAGGAACACCGAGGGATCCGCCCGGACTGTGACCCTCTGCGCAGCCGACCCGACCCAACCCGACCCGACCCGTCCTGTCCCGACCGCTCCCGTCCCGTCCCGTCCCGTCCCGTCCCGTCCCGTCCCGTCCCGTCCCGTCCCCGCCGCTTTCAGCCGAGGCTCTCCCCCGATCACTCCTGTTTTTCCGTTTATCCGCGGCGGGGAGGTGCGGATGAATGGTTTGGTGGGACGCGCTTCGGCGAGGAGGTGCCGGATTACAGCACATACTGTGGGCGATACATTGATTATTCCTAGGCTCTGCTTTCCCGCTTTCCCTGGCAGTCCCTGATTACCCGATAAAACACATTACGGCACGGGGGTGTCCATTGTTCCGATAGTCAAAATTGTAATCGTAGGGGTTTCTCATTGCGACTGCGGTACACCTTAAAATGATACATTTTTTTTTATAAAAACACCCAAGCCCACGGTCGAAAGATAAACTGTGTTCCGTGTGGGCATGAGTAGGCTCCCCATAAAATCTCTGTTTAGCCTGTCAAAGAAAAGTTCGATTTGCTTGCAACAATGTCTAATTTACATTCTCTGTTTCCGAAGCTTTAAATCACTGGCACTTTTTAGCATGAAAAGTTGAGCACAACTTTGTTCGTTTCGTTACTAAAATGAGCCTTGCCTGCCTGCCTGTCAGAGCGATTAGAGACACGGGGTACATTTTCCCCCGTGACTTTGAGAATAAGAAGAAATGGGGATTTTGCACAGTCTCAGCTTTTAGAGCATCGAGCATCAAAAGATGAGATAGCTACCAGATCGAGTCCATAAAATCCTAGAGCACATCCGCGGTGGTAAGGTCACGGCCGCTGCGAGGCGAAGGTGCTGCCACTCCCCGCGCTGCCTGAAGGAATCAGGCAAATGTTGGACAACACCCAGCCCTGATCGTTTGTTTTTCACAGAGCAGCAGGACCTCTCAGAGACCCTCGAGAAGGCTCTGCTGACACCAAGGAGTTGCAGGAGTTCAGCCTCAGCAGGATTCATGCTGTGGGCTTTGTCCATTCTGCACCCTTCCAGGAGCACAAGGTCTGGGCTCAAACCCGCCAAGCAGCAAGTATGAGAAGAAATCAAGGTTAATTTTTTTTCTTGCTTATAGTGTTTTAAAATACAACGATTTCTCAAACTTGTGGAAACTAACTTGTGACTAGAGGCAACCTTCAAAGGATGATGTTTAGTAGGGAGGTTTTCCTCCTTCTGCGCCACACGGCCACCAGCAGCAACCTCACCTCTCTGTTTTGCTTACCTTATTCTATTACAAACAAATCGGTACAGTTGAGCTGTCATTAAGTACAGGAGATATTCCCAGAATCCCAGTTTATTCTTTCACACAATAAGAATAAGATACACAGCACAAGGGGAAGTTGCTTTTAAACACAACCTCATATGGCTCTTTGAAACCTTTGGCTGGAAAAAGCCAGCCAATCTCAGACAACTATTCTGCTTTGAACAGCCAGCACTTTGCTGATACATTAAGTCATTCTAATGAAAAAGACAAAACTAGTTCTTATATTAGATATATCACTAATTTCTCTGCAGAGTGGATGGAAGAGTTTTAAGGAAAACATTAAAACTGCTAAACAGAGTATTGCCTCAAATGGTTCTTCTTCAATGAAACATCACAGGACTACTTCTCAACACTTACTGTGTGTATTGTAATAAAGCACTGGCACTGTTTCATTAAGCACTGCATAAATTTAACAGGTTTGAGTTAACAATCTGACAAAAAGATTAATCTCAAATTCCCAGCATAAACAGAACTTTCTTTAATGTTGGAAGATACTTAGGAGAAGGTATTTGCAAGCCTAGGTGATGTGAATTGACTACAGCAGGTTACGGTGAGTAGACCAGAATGAATTTTCTTCAGGATAAAGTCTGTCATTCTGGTTTTCCTGACTAGCATCTGAAGGTTTGGCTGCAAATTGAAGTTCTTCCCACCCCTCTTGCTACCAGTTCTGAATGCTGATTCTCACTTCTTGATCACCAAAAGTAACGGCATTCATGGGTTTTTTTCACAGTATTTTTCTGAATGCTTTTGAATGGAGATGTGAACTTATTTCTCCTGACAGTAGGCTCATTTTCTCAGCTACTTCTGGTAAGCTCTTTAAAAAGAGCCTCCAGTCCCCCAGTACCTTGTCAAACACCAGATGAAAGCCACAGTCTTAAAACATACCCTGTTTTTCTCAGTATTTAATGTAGGACTGGGACAGATACAAAAGTTCTACCTCTCTGTCTCCTAATATCTCCATCTGACAGCAAGTTATTTCTGCAACTGTCATGATTCCTACATCTCTAGAGCTGTTATTACCTTTCTATATTGCACATTATTACACTGCATATTCTTGGGAAGTTGTTCTTCTAGTTACAGCATATGGAGGACCATCAACTGACAACACAGAAGTTCATGCATTTAGAATGCTCAGACGTTATGTGACACACATCGAAGGTACTGAAATAAGTTTTGGAAACCTAATTATTCTACTTGTTACTAAGGGGGAGGGAATGACTAACAAAAAGGAATGCTTTCAGGTTTTAGTGATAACTCATGAATTCATAAGGGGAGGCAGAATATCAGAATCTATGGAAGCCACACTTTTGTCAGCCATACAACGGCATTGATCTGAACACCTCCAAAAACGTTATGAGGAAATAAATCTGCTATTTACATTACAGGCACCCTAACATTAAACACATCTACTGAACTGTGGCAGCACCACATATTTTTTTGTATAAAAACCTGTATTTTTGGTAAAGAATCCTGATTCTCTAGTTCTCAATATGGATTCTGCAAACATCTTAAACAGGTGAATAAAGGTGACTGATTGGATCAATAGAACTGCTCAGATTTATTCTATGAGACAGAGATATCGGGGTATGTGGCATCAGTATGCAGTTTGCAGCCAAAGATGAAACCTTGATCCTGTGGGAATCAGCGAAGATTTTACTCCTGAGTTTAATGAGACCGAATTCTCTGTGAAATTTCCAAGGTGATTTAAAATCAATCTATTAAAGTGTGTACTCTAACTACAGTGCAGTCTCTCACTGTCATGATGGTTCAGGGGTTTGAAGCTGGTTGGTTTTTGGTCACTTTTAAAATTTGCAAGAAACTATGGGATTCCACCTTTTGTTGGTCTCTAAGTCATGGCAAGAACCTGAGCTTTTCCTTCCACTGCCCAAGCACATGCTCTACGCCCAAGGCTCCATTTTTACCAAGCTCCATATTTTTGTTCTATCACAAATTTGTTTCCAGCTCTGAATTTGCACTTAGGTTTTTGCAAGCACAGTAATTTGGACTTCTGAAAAGTAAGTGTCGTTCATAAAAGTACATGTGCAAATGAGTTGCCTAGAATAAATCACCCCAGGTTAAATTTATATTCTAATGTTCATAGTCCTATTTATTAGTGTTTAAATGTTTTAAAAGGGGATCTATCCACATACCAGAGCTGCATTTTAGGTAACACAAAAGAAACACTTTCCTCCAAGTTCTTCATTTTGGCCTTTATTAATGCATAAGTCTCTTTAATGTTATTAATGAGGTATTTCTTCTAGGCTTTTTCCTGCTGGGGAGGACGAGATAAACAAGGAGGCCTGATTTTTCCAGCTGCTAAATATGTAAGCAGCACGACGGCTTCAAAGCGAAAGGTTTTAGAAGGCAGCAGCAACAAGAGAACGGTGCTCTGGGGGCACTCTGGAAACAACAACGTGCCGGTTTTCGGAGGCCGGGTCGGGACAAGCGGGGTCATTCCCGGAGCCATCCGCGGTGCTGCCCGGCGGGAGGCGGGGGCTGCGGGCGGAGGGACCGCGGCTCCACCGCCCCCGGCCCGAGGAGCATCCCCGGCATCCCCGCCCGGCGGCCGCGCCGACAGCTCCCCCTCCTGTCCCGCTCCTTCCCAGCACGGTGGGAAACGCATCATGGAGCCTCGGACACCGAAACGTGTTTAAGCACCAGTCTGCGTGCGATTATGCACGTATAAAGCCACACGTCCACCCACACACGCAGGGAGAAAGCTGAAGGTAAAAAGGGAGGCTGTTTTCTCTTTTTTTTTCCCCCCCCCAAGTAACAGCCCCAGACGTCGCAGGCCAAAGTAAAGGTGAGGCTCACAACTAGGTTTTCTTAATATTGATGATAATTTGCCTTATTATTCCCTGCTTGCCAAGGTGTTGTCAGCTCTCCATCAGGTTTCTTGGTAATGCCAGTCACCGTGGAAAACATATGTCTATGCAGTCTTTCACCTGTATCCGAGGGGAAGCCATAATAAACAGCAATTTAAATTCAGGTATTTGGTTTGCTGAAGTGTTTAATTAAACAAAGAAATTCATTATGTGAGTTCACAGAAAAGTTCCATTACGTTGATTTTTTTTTTTTCGTTTGACTTGAAGTGGAAATGTTCCTCTGACTTTTTGTTTGGCACACTAAGATGATAGATTATTTATGCCAT